CCACACGGGTGAGCCTCTGCTGAAACCGCTCAGGAAGCAAGAGCACTGGGGAGGCCACATGGGGATGGCTGTTGTGTGTGAATTGGGAAAAGAGTTTGGAAAGTTCTCCACCCGTTTATTCAAGCTTGTGTGAATTGGGAAAAGAGTTTGGAAAGTTCTCCACCCGTTTATTCAAGCTTGTGTTCACGTGACCCTCTATTGAGCCTGCGCTGTGTCCCCAGCCCTGCCCTCGTGTCAGGGCAGGAAGGACAGAGACACGGCCTGCAGAGGTCCCTGTGCAATCTGGACAAACCATGGCAGTTCCCATGGGAGGTCATGGAGATCTGGTGCCACGTTCCTGTCCTGTCTGTCTGTCTGACTCCACCTCATTCATCGAGAGGGATCAGGTGACAGGAGCTCAGCAAGGCAGGGCTCTCCCCGCACGGCAGCATGTCAAGGGCATGAATGAGGTTTGCTGTGTTGCCTCCAGACCCAAGTCACAGCAGAGTCTCCTCCTGTGTTTGTTGAGTGACTGAGTGAATGAGGACTTCACTTGAGACCCTTCCTCATCCCCGTGCCCTGCGCCCTCACAGAACCCCCAACACCCACACCTGGCAGAACTGCCTGCTCCAGGGTGTCGGTGGGGCTCCCAGTCTCCTCACTGGTGACATTCGGGATGGATGACCCTTTGTTGCAGGGCTGTCCTGTGCACCATGGATGTTTAGCAGCATCCCCAGTCTCTACCCACTACCCAGCCCTGGCCAAGTTGGGACAAAGAAGATGTCTGGGGACACCAGATGTCCATGGGGTGTGAGTTGGCCCCAACTGGAAACCTCAGGTTTGCACAACACTGAGACTCTCTCAGGCCAGGCCAGGAAGGGGCCACTTCCTGGTGCAAACCAGCAGGCAATAAAGTCACTGCAGCCTGGGCAGCAGGACCCTTAGGACACTCATGTACCCTTCTCTACTGAGATGGAGGTGTATGGAGAGCCCCTCAAAGGATGGGGACATTGGTGAAAGTCCACAGGCCAGGCGGGCAGGACCCCAGTGTGTGATGCAGGCTCTGGTACCTGAGTGTAATGCCAAGGTGGGAGGGGGACATGGTCTCTGCTCTTTCAATGAGCACATCTCTGGGGTCTCCCAACGTCTCCCCACAACCCCTGGGTAAAGCCATCCTGTGACTCTGAGGCTTTGCATGTGCAGTTCCATCTCCTGAAACGCCCTTCCCTCCCCACCCCTATCTCTGCCAGCCCTGGTCACCTGCAGGCCCCGTCTCCACTGTCATCCAGGTGTGTGTGTGTGTGCGTGTGTGTGTGTGTGTGCGTGAGTCTCATATGACACAAACTGGAGGGTGCCATGCCTCCATTTACTAACAGACGTCCTTGGTGGCTGCTGGTGTCCCCTGCGCTGTCCTAGCCCTACTGTGCGTGCAGGGAGCATCCGCACATGCAGCCTCAGGTCCGTCGTTGGGAGCTGTTGCTCTGCAGACTGCATGGAAAAGGGTGAAAATGAATGAAGAATGTGAGGCCGTGCTGGGTGGCCACCTGGGGTTAGAGAGAAATAACTCAGAGAAAGGAGAATACCACACACTGGGGACAGTTTCCGAGTGATGGTGTGAGGAGGTGGTGTCTGGGCACAGCGTGAGGGCGGTGAGGAGTCAGGCCCTGCCTGTGAGTCAGGAACAGCGTCGCAGGAGGAGGGAAGAGGGAACAGCGAGTGCAGTGCTCAGAGGCAGCGGCAGGCCGGGTGCTGGGGACTCTCCGGGGCCGTGTGTGACAGCAGAGGTGGCAGGAGGAGGAGCAGGGGGAGAACAGGGCTGACACCCAGGAACCCGGAGCCTTTGGGGACAGCAGGGACAGGACTGCACTTGCACCGTGACAGGACCTCGGCTGTCCTGGTCAGGGAGACTGGGAAGGCGCCATCAGGGGGAGGGACGGTGGCTGCAGCAGGGGGGCGGGGCCAGGCTGAGCAGGTGATTTGGGACGTGTGGAAGGTCACGCTCACAGGGTTTCTGAGGGGTGTGGTCATCAGGGGACGGGGAGACACGGATGATCCAGAGTCGTCCCCTGAGCTCCTGGAAGGAAGGAGCTGTGTCCACAGGGGCTGCGGAGGGAGGGCTTTGCAGGGCAGGGTCACTCCTGACAGTTCAACTGGCGCCAGAGTGGGGACACCATGGACACAGCTGGACACGCGTGTCGGCAGCTCAGTAGGGGACTCCAGG